AGAAGCCTTCCGGCTGTTTCATGTAAATTCTTTCATACAAATCACCATGTAAAAATGCAGTTTTTACATCTAATTGTTTCAATTCCCAATTATAGTAGACTATTTAACAACAGACGCAAAAATTTCATTGTAATCTATTTCCTCTTTTTGAGTAAACCCCTTAGCAAGTAATCTTACTTTAAAGCTAACTTCATTTTCATCTTATTTTACTTTGTAAAGCCATTTACAATCAACAACAAAACTGTTAGCTAACTTTGGCACCAAAATCCAAGTATTATTATCCTTTAATGATTTCATTTCTTCATTCATAGCACTAATCCACTCATTTTTATGTTTTGATTTCATAGCCTCAGTATATGACTTTGGTTCATTACCATCTAATGATTCAAATACATTATAAGCTAATGAGGTAACATCAACATAAAAAAATCATCTAACCTAAGGGGCTGCCTTACATTTCGCCTAACTCTATCCCTAACAAGTCGATAATTTTCCAAATTTTGATCAATATTTTCAACAGTTCCAGATTCAAATCCCTCACTAACATCATCAGAACTAATTCCCGGATCAGCCTTTGAATTTCTAGAATTAAAATCTGGATCAAAACAGGCTATTTCGGTATCAATTCCACTTGAAGCATTATTATCAAGTAATTCAGCCTCTAAATCGGCTAAATTATAATGATTTTGCTCCACCTCACTTTGAATATCGTTAGAACCATTAACAGCAGTGTTTTCATCATTTAAAGTCTGATTTTGCTTCAAACAGGGCATTTCATTTTCATTAAATGCTACATCATGACTAACAAAAGTTTTAAAACCTGGTTTAGTATTTAACCATAGTCTATATCCTTTAACACCCTCAGGATACCCTAGAAACACACATTTCTCAGCCCTAGGTTCAAGTTTATCATTGAAAACACGTATAAAAGCAAAACAACCAAATACTTTCAGGTTTGAAAAATCAATTTTCTTTCCACTCCACCTAAATTCGGGACATTCACCATTTAAAGGCACTGAAGGAGATCTATTAATCAAATAAGCTGTTGTATTTACAGCCTCTCCCCAAAATCGCTTGGATAAACCCGAGGAAGCTAGCAAGCTTCGAACTCTTTCTAATAGAGTTCGGTTCATCGGCTCAGCAACCCCATTTTGTTGAGGTGTGTAAGGGGCTGTTTTATGTCGCTTTATTCCATTTTCAATGCAAAAGCCATCAAACAAAGTGTTGCAATATTCTAAGCCATTGTCAGTTCTCAAACACTTAATCTTTTTACCCGTTTGATTTTCAATAAAAAAATTTCCAGTTTTTAAAAATTTCAAAAACATCAGACTTCTGTTTCATTAAAAATACCTATACTTTCCTTGAAAAATCATCAATTATAGTAAAAAAAAAATATCTTCTACCACTATGTGTGGGTTCATTATAAGGTCCCAGACATCTGAGTGAAGATATTCAAGGATATTTTTTGAAAAAATTCTGCTTTCAGTGGGTTTTTTTAGGAAAGGTAACTTTATGATGCTTTTCATAGATGCAATTATCACAAAATGACACATTTGAAAAATTTCCAGAACCAAAACATTCAGATTTATGCAAAATCTCTAATCCTCTATTACTCAAATGACCTAATCTCCTTATGCCACAACTCAGTGTTGTCTTGGACAGCATTCACATATGCATCAGATTCACAAACTGGCACAACAGTCACACTATAGAGGTTATTTCTCAAATTAGCCTTGAAAACTACTAAAGAAACCTTAGTTATTTTCATAAAATTTATTCTTCATTTTCCTCTAGTCCTAAGGAAGACAAAGCATCACAAGAAAGTAAGTTATTTGACAGATTAGGAACATGTCTTACATTGCACAGCTTTAAAATATTTCTAGATTTAAATTTCAGAATAACAATCCCTATTCCTTAACACTGCAAACCCTATTGTCAGCCATAGTCACATTACAGTTTGAAAGGGTTTTATAATCCCTGAAAAACTCTTTAAAATGAGTCATGTGATAGGTGCATGCTGAATCTAATAACCATTCATTCTTATTAAAAGCAGTTACATTAGAACACTCAACAGTAACAACAAACACTTCACCTAAGCAACCCTCATGAGAAATCAAGTTTACTGTTCATTTGAAGAAGTATTAATTGGGGTTGTTCCATTTCTAAAGTTGTTATTATTGTTATTCAAGTTTCTATTCTTTTTAGGACAATTCCTAATAAAATGTGAAGGGTCACCACAATTAAAACAGCATTTGACATACTTTGAAGGGGTTTGAGATCTATTCCTAGACTTACTTCTATACTTCTTCTTATGTTGACTATCCCATTGCTTATTGTTATTGGAAGAAGAGCCATTTTTATTCGGTCTATAGGGAGATCTACCCTTAACATGCATCACCTCACCATGTAACTGTTTATTAGCTTTATTTAGTTGCAAATCCACTTTTTTACTTTTTAGACCATTTACAACAATATCAAGAGTAATCACATCTCAACCATACTTTGATTTTACATCTGAATATGTACTAGGGATTGCATTTAACATGACAATAGAGCTGTAATCATCTATATTTTTATCCCCTGTAAGTTTTATATCTTGAATTAACTTGGAAAAAACATCTAGATTTTCATCTATTGTCTTTGAAATGTCTAATTTGAAGCTAAAGAATTTCTTTAATAGATATATCCTATTTGGAAGAGAAGTTTCAGTATACATATTATTTAATTTGTCCCACAAATCCTCAGCTGAGCCATAAGTTCCTATTTTCCTAATTACATGGTCAGCTAGGTTTAAAATAATGCACGAAGACGCAAGTTCATCCAGCTCAAGCCTTTCTTCAAGAGAAAGGTCGACTGCTTGATCAGGTTCCACGACTTTTATCAATCTTTGAGTTACAAGGACACTTCTCATCTTTTGTTTTCAAATTGCAAAATCAGATTTTCCATCAAAGGGTTGTATGTTAAAAAATGATTAACCAGCCATGATCTTAGAAGAAAAACAATCTGTTTTATTATTTTTCACAGAATCACTGGAAAAACGGATTTATGGTTTATAAAATCTCAACAAAAGAACCACCAGATAGGAATGCACCAAGAACTGAGAAAAAACCGAATATTAACTAATCCAAAGGTTAGTTTCTTGAGAAAACTAACTTAGAAGCAATTAATATTACCCAACACACAATCAGATTTGCACAAACTGCTCTAACTAACACTTTAAAAGATAGAACAACCAACAACAGCCACACTTAGCACAAAAACAGCCACTTAGCAGACTAAAATAGCCACACTTAGTCACCACAGAACTGAAATCTCATAAAAACACGCAACAGGGTTAGGAATGTTACCCACTCCAAGCTCCACAACTGTTCTTTTACTTTCTTATCAAAAAACAAAGCCTTCAACCTGTAAAATCCTTCAAACTGCGCACTTAATACATAGATTAGTAAAGTTTGGATGAATCAACAACAAAGAACTACACAAATCAACCAAATAAGGATGATTTCAAGTCCTAATCTCCTACAGGGCCTATCTTAGTCCTAATCAAGGAGATCTAAACTTTACAGAAGTGAAAAACACTTCAAAAATCAGTTTTCACTTTGACAGAAAAGTAAACAACCAAGATTTCGGAAAAACTTGAGATTATTTACAAAAAAACTTCGGATTTTACAGAGAGAACTAGGTGTTCACTCCAGGAACTTGAGAATCACAATTCCAGTAAACTAACAAGCCCTAATTGCTCTGATACCACTTGAAGATGTAATATAGGACCTAATACTTGTAGTTTACAATTAATCGAACACATACAAGACAAAAAACATCGAATCTTTTATATATATATATTAAATCGAAGGAGTTCGGATTCAGGTTACCCAACATTCCAACTGTGTAGCAACATATACACATAACCGCGACCCAAACCCTATCGACATCCACAAAAACGCACAATCAGCGCGAATATAACCCCAATCGAAAGAAATCTCAAGATTCTAAGCCTAAATAATCGTGGACAACCAAATAACACCACGAACAGTATATAAAGGCAGAATCGAGAAATTAAACCGAAGAACAACCTTAGAATAGGCTGAATCACAACCGCAGGGGACGAATCTCAAGCTTCGATGGCCAATTTCGCCGGAAAAACCAAGCACAGATCGCTCGCGACGCATCGGGAACAGTAGGGTTTCAGAGAGTAATGTGAGAATGAGAGAATGAATCACGCTCCAATCGAACCGGGGAAACATACATTTATATGAAGAATCCAGAACCAGCTCGGAGCGGTCCAGATCCAAACAGTATTGAGTCGAATCGCGGGTACAGATTTCGGGTTTCGAAGAATTGGGTCGGATTGAAAAGTATTATGCACAAAACATCACAGATCCATATAATATACATACTACTATTGAATTCCGCACTATAGATATTTTCATAGAACAGTCAACATATGATATAACCATGCCTTGATCTCTATTTTAATGCAATGATTTGCATCAATCTAACACCCTAACCTCGCTCATAGTTCTTACAATGTGTTTCGTTCTATGGTTTTTCTTCTAATGATTCCCTTAGTGCTTAGACATATTTCATATATGTATGTATATATATATGGATGAATAATATTCGATAGAGATTGAAAATTCAAGAAACGATATATATATATATATATATACATATATTGTGGGGGCAGAAAACAATAAAGGGAAGGCGCCATTTGAGGATGCCCGTCCAGCTAAAGACCTAACCAGTTCTTGCCAAAACGTCAGACCACCTTTTTCCCTCACTCACATCTACCTATTTCTTAATTTAATTAATTAATTAATTCATTTGCTTTAAATTTATCAATCTATATATATATATTCAATTAATTTATCTGAAATCAACTTATGATAATGGTGACGATGATGATCGTATTTGCAGACAGACAAATATATCTGATTAATTTGAAGGAGATGGAAAACAAATGTAGATCATATATATATATATATATGTATATATGTATCGAAGAGTCTGCTGATATATTATGAAAGTGATGGTACAAGGTAAGATTAACGACGCCGACAACGACGAGACGTGTGGAGCCTCTGACTGAAGAATTAATCATACTCACTGCAAGATTAAGACAATGCCGATGGAAGCTCCTGCTGCTGCTGCTGATGATGATGATGATGTTGTAATAATTGCTGTTGGAAGTCCGGGACCTGTAGCCTTGCCTCCTCCTCCTCCAAGTACGTCCACTCTGGCGGCGCACAAGGGTAAATCGGACAATTCGCATTCCCCCAGGCTACGCTGCCGTTCAACATCATCTCCCCGCCGCCGCCGCCGCCGGCGGATGACGACGATGAATTATTGATGTTTTCTCTCGCGCTGTAGAAATCATCGTAGGAATTGAAGCTCCAATTAGGTACGAGGTAACGATCGACGCCTGAATTCCTCGACAGATTCTGATCATCGGAGGCGTAGGAAGCCTCTCCCATGGCGTTTGTCTGAAACAACCCGGCCGGAGCGACGCTTGCCAGGAAATTCAGCTCCATTTGGTCGCACGTCGTCGTCGCCGGAGCTTCTATGGCGGCGGAGTACGGCGGCGGCAGCGGCGGAGGGTAGACATTGTAACAGTAATCGTTGATGGAGAAATAATTCTGGAGATAATCTCGTCCTCCGAATTTCTTTCCCTCCGATTTCTTACCATTTTCCGATCTCGCCGTCGCCGCCGTTGTCCGCTGCCGGCCCAACAGCTTCTTCTTCAGGCGCGTGTTCCAGTAATTCTTTATGTCGTTGTCAGTTCTCCCCGGCAACTGAGCCGCAATGATCGACCACCTACAAATCAAAATCAAAAATCAAAAAATCAAAATCCCCAAATTAAAAACCCTAATTTCAAAACCAATTCAATTCGATATATTGACCTGCTTCCGATGGTGATATAGAGGCTGCAAATGAGGTTATCTTCCTCCTCAGTAAATCCGCCATGTTTGATGTTGGGTCGGAGGTAATTGAGCCATCTGAGGCGGCAGCTCTTGCCGCATCTCTTGAGGCCGATTTTGTGAGGCAAGGCGATCCAGTTGCCGCCGGTGCCATGGGAGTCGATGTAGGTTTTGAGCTTAGCGTCTTCCTCAGGGGACCATGGCCCACGCTTCACGTTCGCCTTGTCGCAGCACGGAGCTCTGCCCATCTTCAGACCGGACCGGTCGGATTGCCTCTTATCTGTCTCTCTCTATCTCTATCTCTTTCTGTATCTCTATCTGTATGTAATGAAATGATGAATTGCTGGCTGCTACCTATCTAAGCTAGCACCTATCTAAGCTAACTATATATGATTGATATCATCGTCAATTCATAGAGATATAGATACAGATAGATACAGTTGGTGTGTGTATAGGTGGTGGAGGTCGGAGAGAGAGAGAGAGTATATCTGCAAGTAATGGCTGGAGGAGAGACAATGAGACATGGAATGGATGGTTGTATATAGATATATATATATATATGTGTGTGGAAAGATGGAGATGAATTATATAGAGTATATAAATATAATAATAGATTAATGAAGCAGCAGATTTGAAAGCCCACAACAGTGGAGATCGAAAAAGGGGTTTGGGATTGTCCTTTAATTGCCTGTCCGGAATCTCATTTTAGATTTGCTATGAGATTTAGAGGCTTGTTTATTTCAAGGCAGATGAAATAAATATATAAATAATTGTAGTTCCACTATAGAAATGTTTAATATATAATGGTGTCGACATAAGTAATAGATATATGTTTTAATATAGCATATGCTTTGGCATACATTTAAAATACTGTTATACTACTTGTTCTTTTAATTTCTTGTTTGGTAATTAAACTAATAATTTATACTACATTCATTTACTTTTTGCATTTTGATATTTGAATATTAATTATTATATCAAAATGTAGTACAAATTAAGAAAAAGTTACAAAAATCCTTCTATTAATATCTTATAATACTAATAAAAGGATATTTGTAGAAAATATTATACAAATATAAAAATATTTTTAATATTAAGTACAATGATGCAAAAAATAATTGTGACCCTTAGAGGCGGACAAAGATATCTCTGTTTCGAAATAATATAATCCCCATAGTAGATGGAACATAAAAGAATATAGTCATGGACATTATGATGACAAACAAAATATCAATCTCGATATATTTAGTGTGTTCATAAAAATATATTATTATGAGATAGATGAATACTAATCTTCTTATAGCAATAGATAGTAATAAGAGATGAAAAAGTTATGTCAAGATCAACAAGTAACCAGAAAAGTTTACTAAGTTTGTCAAGATCAACAAGTTTACCAGAAAAAGTTATGTCAAGATCAACAAGTAACCAGAATAGTAATCTTTTCTAATATCATATTTACTAAGTTTGTGATTCATTCTCATTCAAATCATCTCTCGTCGATCTAGGGTAACTTTCTTCCCTCCATTTCCATTGTCTTCAAATCGCCGAAAGAATGTGTTCGTGACCGGTAATCGGCATTCAATCGCTCGTCACCGAAATTCAAACAAGATCTTCGTGTTCATCCCGCAGCGCTTTGGGTTCGCCTCCAAAGTTCTTCGTGTTCGATAGCTATCTTTAACAGAAAGAAAAAATGGTGAAGCCTTCGGGTTCAAGTGATCCTATCATTCAACCCCCATGTGTTCCCAGAAAAAGCCCAGTTGAATGGGTTGGTATGACGTCCTTCCGGTGAGACGTTAAGTTGAGTGTTTGTTCTGCTTGCTAAAAATTCTCGTATGATATGCTAAGTAATATTTTCATATACTAAACTAATGTTTTTAAAATTTTGACTTTATATATTACTTAATACATAGGATCAGAATGGAAAATCAAATGAGTGGTACAAGGCTGAGATTTTTTGAATGTTTGATGTTGTTTTCAAATTAAAGTAAGAGTGTAACTTGAAATTTAATAGTGTCAAGCAATATGAAGCTATTGATGAGGAATAAATTGATGATGCCGTCAAAAGAGTTGAAAAAGAAGGTCTTGATGAAGGGAATATTGAGAAAGTAATTTTAATTGTATGAATTTATGTAATTAATATTGTTCTATTAGATATCTATTATTTCCCTTTTCATTTCGCATTATATAAGATCCTTAACCTTGATCATTGTCACAGGAGTCTGCTGAATGTGATTTTCCCGTACGAAAAGTACATTTGAAGAAGCTTTTTTTTCGGTGCAAAAATTTTATTCGAAGAAGGGAAAAATACTAATGCTCATCCGAAAAAAATCTCGTATTAAGATAAGTACAAAAAAACATATTGGTGGGTGAGAGTGAGGAAGAACAAGAAATCGACTGTGATGGGTGAATGAATGAACTATTGAATTTGATAGATTGAGTGGATTGTTGGATTTAATGGATGGATTAAATGCAATGTGAAGTTTCGATATTGTTATTATTTTTTATTTTTTATTTTTGATAATTTTTGTGGAAAGCAAGTTTAGAGTGTGTGTGTGTGTATTTTTTTTTTTTTTTTATAGCAATTTATTGTGAATGATATTGAATTAGAGAAGTATGAATTGAATTGTATTAAATTATATTTGTACCCTGCTTAAATGTTGATGATAATACACTAAAATGCTCGTTGAGTTCTGGATAACACTCAAGGTATTTGAGATTATAATAATATGTTGTAGACAATATAACAATATGCTTGTAGGTAATAAATATAATACTTTGTTCAATATATGTAAATGCTTATCGTAAGAGGTGAATATGTTACTCTTAATAGAACAATATGTAATTATAATACAATAATATGATAAATTATGGATGTTACAAAAAAAAAAAAAAAAAATTCTCCTTCATTGTATCATGTTGTTTATTTGTTTTATTTATCCTTTTATGTTTTATTTTGCCTCTCAAAGTTATTGATTGACACATTTCTCTCAATTCTTCCTTTGGATTATCCATCGACTTCAATATTAAATTGCTACATTCTTTGTATCATATTTTGTTATAACAATATTTCATACATTGTATCTTACACAGGTTTTTTTGTATTTTTTGTATTGTATACGTACTCATAATAGAAATTATACGTATCATCTGGTTTTGTGAATGAGCAAGTCAATCTATGGGGGGTGTATATATTAGACGCTAAAAAATGTTAAACAATATGTTATCTATTGAATTTTAAAATTTTGTCATACAACTTAGAAAATTTTGAGTAATGTATTTAAACTCATCAAGTTTCGTGTTGTATAATATAATATCAAATGTTTCTCCATACACACGAAATTCACACATGGTTTCACAAATTTGCGTCAAATCTCTCATATTTTTAAAATTGTATCAGACCCCCTCATGGTTACATGAACTCTGCGTCTAACCTCTTAGTCATCTTTATTTAACAGTGTTTGGCATGTGCGTGCTCAAACTGCAAATGAGTTTCAAAATTTCTATTTACAAACCTTTAAAATTACAAATATACTTATTTTTTTTTATATTTAGCTTCAAAGAACAGTAAAAAAATATATTCATAAATAATTATTTTTCTCTGGTTCTAAGAATTGTTTTAAAAATATAAGAGGAATAAATATATAAGAAGAATGAATTATTACTTAGTGTTTCTTGAGGCTAAATATAAGAGGAATGAATATATTTGTAATTTCATGGGTTTAAAAATAGAAATTCTGAAACTCATGCAGATCAAACACCGTTAAATAAGGACGGTAGAGCGTTAGACACAAAATTTATGAAACCATGAGGGAGATTGACGCAATTTCATGAAACCATGGGCGGGTGTTGTGCAATTTTGCCTTCAATACTTTAAGTCAAATATGATTACTAATGCATATTAACCAAATTTTTAAAACATCAAACGAGATTTTAATAATTTTATTAATCCATAAATCTTGGAAAACTATGAAAACAATTAGATTAACATAATTTCAAAATTTTTTACCCAAATTTGACTAAAGAAACAACAATCCAATCATTTGAATCCAATAAATACAATTTAGTAAATCAAACGAGGCATTGGCGACTTCAATTTCATTGTCCCATATTTTACTTGATTGGGAGATTTCCATTGCATCATTCGGTATTGACGAAAGAGATGAAGTATTTGAAACTCCAATTTCTTTTATGTCTCTGTTGCTTCTTGAAGAATTGATTAACGTTGGAATAATGACAAATAAATCTTGCACATATCCATCAATATTGTCCATAAATTTTACTGAAGGATTTTACAGTATTTTTCTGCACAATTTTAGAGGTACAAGAGGAGGAATGAACAGAAGGTAGTTAGATAAATTAATAGTATGCAAATTACTCTTACACTTCGAAGTTAATACAAGCCATTAGATTAATTTTTGTAATCCAAAAGGTAATAATTAATCAGTATGATACTGAAAGTTTTCTATCATGATTGGATCCTAATTTTATAGAGAATTTTGTAAATTATATACCTTATGTAAGGAGACATTATTGATGTTCAATTATAAAAGGTATCGCTGAAGAATTACTGGAATTGGTACTAAGCATCAAACACAGATAAGTTACGCAATATGATCAAAGATTTCTTCATAATCAATTCTTTATTTCTGTGAGTAGCATTTCACGACTAGACGATCCATCTTGGCAAGTTTTGACCTCGAAAGTTTAGTTGCAATGTATAGGTATTTTGTCAAGAGGATCCATCTTGGCAAGTTTTGACCTCGAAAGTTTAGTTGCAATCTATAGGTATTTTGTCAAGAGGTAGATCAAACAAGTGACATATATGAGTTCTCTCAAAAGCATAAAATTTTTTAGATATAACTTGTTACAAAGAATCATCATTCGCTTCATAAAAGGAGTCGGGCTCGTGAAAGGATTAAAGTAACTTTGATAGACATAAAGATGGACAACAGAATAATTTCCATAATATGATTGTCGAAATATGAAATTCAAAATGCGTGGAACAAATTCAAGCACTACTATTGGATCATCGTCTAAGGATGACAGAAAATGAGTATCATAAACCTCCACTAGAGCAATATTCGGTAACGTAGATATGGTTGAAGAGGTGGCAAGTTTAATATTTGAAAAAAGAAAAAGAAAAAAAAGACTAGATGACATGAAGAAAAGTAAAGCCATGACATTTAAAAGATAAAAGTTCGACATAAATGAAAATATGGTATTATTTCAAAACGTAATATAAGGAAAAATTCACATGTTCATAGATCATAGCCTAAAACCTGAAATTCTTAAGTTCTCTTTCATATTGCAAAAAATAACACAAACAAGCACGAGTTTCATGTTTGAATTGCTATGGGGAGGAAAGATAACCAAACTGACACAATAAAAAAGACATAAAAGACTATAATTATGTATTTGAACAACAGAAGTTTGAAGAGACTAATATTACTGAATATATAAGACATAAGACGATTGATAGTATAGACATCAACAAGA